GAGGAATGCTTGCGAGTTTCCTGCTATAAAGCTAGGATTATTACTAAACCCTGTTTGCTTACGTAAAATCCTCTTAACTAATTTGCTAATTTGCTAGTAGCATAAATTTTTCTCATGCTCACGAAGATAATCTTCACATTTGACCTTAAAGAAAAACACAAATGAGAAAGTGTCACAAACGGAGAGCAAAAATTGTTGATAAGATTATAACTCCATAATAAATGTTTTGTAAGAACATTTTTTTGTTGGGGTATTAAGAGCCACTGACCATAACTGTCGAAAATCCGCCGACAGTTGCAAAATCTATCACACAAGACCTTTTTTAAAGGCCTTTAAATGGGCCATGACAGCTGTTCAGCGGTTCACGTTGCATTTTTGAAAAAATAGCCCAAACTCTTTCAAACCTGGACGTGCCGCTTATTGCAGGCCAAAATAGAGTGTTGTAGGAGGATGTAGCAACGTGCGAAATTTGCAAGAGGGTATCGCGCTTCATGCATTCTTCATACAACACACCTAGTCGGCATATTTCGGGAAATATCTACGACAACCTTCCCAAACAAGTGAAAATGTGTGAAATGCAGATTTTCGTTTTCTCGATTTGACGTCACATTACCCGCTAGAACCATTTCTCTTTAAACTCGATCGTGAGCCAAGGTGGCGGCCGATTTTCCGTGTATTGACTGGGCACAGAAAATTGAAGATTTGAGCAAATAAAAAAAAAAATTGCACAGAAATACTCCAAAAAATACACTTATTTCGCTAGGTGAAAAACATTTTTGGGTTTAGGTGCACTCTAAGTTTATCTGGCAGACCTGTCCATAGGCTACTGAAGTTGTCGTTTATTTTACCTCCGGGAAAGACTCGAGGTATTTTATTTCAACGGGTCACTATTTACACTTAAACATAACAACATAACAAGAACTTTAATTTTTCCAAGAGATAGTAGGACTATCTGCTAGCTCACAAAATTTAAAAAGCGGGATTGCGTCGCGTTGTGGCGTAGAAAGCCACCGAAGTTGCATAATCTTTCGTTGCTTTACGGGGGGAGGGGGGGGGGAAACAACGGCTATTTAGGCGTGTTTTAAACTTTACGATTTTACGGAGAAAAAAAAGCGTGATAGAAGTTTTTGATATAATTTCGAAAAAGGTTCATTAAAAGGGTCCTTCAGAAAAAATTAAATGAACCACGAAATTTTACAACTGTCTGCGGGATCTCGATATTTATGGTCAGTGGCTCTTAATATCAGTAAAAGTAACAGTAGAAATAATGTAAATGGCTGGTGGATGTTCAGCCGGGTGCACTGTCGGGGCCGGTAGGTTAACGTGGTTCTTTTAATTCCTTAGAGAAAATCCCCTACTGTTGAGGTAGATGTATGGGAACGAGGCTTTTAAGGTACGTTAATGTATTTTATGGAATACGAGTAGAACTTAATAAATTCTACGAGGAGCTCCAAATATCAACAAAAATATTCAATAAGTTGTGACACTATACGGTAGGATCTGTCTGAGAATGCCATCTAGACATAATTGAACAAATGACCAAGCAGCAGAGGAATGGGAGAAATGCCAGACAAGGCGTAGAAACAAAATGGGTTATTTGACCCGCAGTTATGGATGAATAATTCCTTATTTCCCAAAGGGAATTTTTGGAAGTAAAGATTGAGATAAAGAGTCGTGTGAATTATTTACACTCAAACTAAGTGAAGCGTACCCATCAAGATTACAGTAATGAATTGATCACTTGGATATTGAACCCACCAGCCGTTTCAAGAATGCAATAATGAATTTAATATTTGATAATTGAACCCGCTAGCCGTTTCACGAATGCAATAATGGATTGACTATTTGAATATTGAACCCGATAGCCGTATCCGTTTTGGAAAAGTGAATTCGAGTGTTGTGTAGAACTTCGCAATAAAAAAAGTCTTGCGATGGCTTCGTCCGTAAACTATTCGACAGTTACAAGAAGTTCTACACAACACTCGAATTCACCTTTCCCGCCATGTCTGACGCCTTGTTGAAATAGTTCCGATCCATCATAGTTAGGGAGTGCTCGGAATTCAAGCGTATACATGATTCCACTATCGAGAACCTTAGATTGCTCAATTAAAAGATTTTGTCCATCCTTACTGTTTCTCTGTTCCTTTTTCTCCGCCATTCCTCTGGTTTTCGCTCCTCTGCCGATCCCAGGCTACACCTTTGCACCGTTCATCCACGGGTTCACCATGCATAATTAAGGTCATTTTGATTCCGTTCTCGGTGATCCATTTGAGTCCACAAATAGTATGTGGACCTCATATTGTGCCTCCTTCTCTCTAGATTTTTTGAAATATTTATAGGATTTCTTTCAAGAAGCGGGTAGATGTTTCCTTCTTCGGTCTTGGTTACAACCATGTTTATAAAATTAAAGAAGTTACTAACAGGTCAATTTCTCATTATGATTTGATTTCATTAGCTGTTTCGTTGTTGGCATGTGGTCTATTTTGGAGTAGTGGGGAAAAAGGTCTCCTTTTTATGAAAAACAAAAAAAGATCACCCGGATGCATTACTTCATTAGCCATTCTATGTCCAGAAGGAAAATTCACAGGCCAATTTGTGCACGCTAAAAGATCAGGTTAAAATTGCAAAATAAAAACACAGCTCCCAGTATCTGGCAGTAAGTAAGGATCTTCTTCCTACATCATTACAAATGGATCGAGGAAAGAAAAAAATTCTTATCTCACGCCTCGTTCCTCACAGAATATCTCAAGCTTCGAATGATGAGAGCGTCTACTTATGCGTCAGCAGTCGATCGAGTTTACTTAATGACAGTCTTTCTAGGTGATTTTGATATCTTCTGTAGCTATACATATCCACTTTCTAGTTACAGCCCATAGCTAATAGCTGGCTTCTCGACGCGAAGCTGCTTAAAACAGATGACATTTTTCGCTAGATATGCGTATTCCCTGCAGAATGTTCGTGTACAGGTTCCTTTTTTCGTCCATATTCCTTAAACGAAAAACGCTATATTACCAACGTAATATATAGACAACGTTATATAGCTTTCTCGCTATAAGATCAGATTAACATTGCAAAATAAAAAACACAGCTGGCAGCGCTATATAGACAACGCTATATAGACAACGTTATGAAAACAAAACATAAACAAAAAAAAAGAAAAACCATACTTTGAAAAAATGCAGCAATAATCTACTATAATGATTTTAGTAGATTATAGCTGCATTTCAGATAAAATTTCTACGACCGATCTCTGTAATACTGTAGATACCTTGGGGTAACGATATACGACATGGGAAAATTTTCATAAACCTCATGCAAAATTATTTTGTATTTTAGACTTCCCGTCCAATTAGTTGCGTCTTGTGTATTATTCACAGCAGTTTAAAAAGTCAGATGCGTTCTTTGGAACTGGTCTGAGAGATACACAGCTACTACTGTTTATTAATCATCATAAAATATTTCAACTTTCCGTTATGGCTCATTTGCATCAAATCCCATAAAAGGAAAATGCGCTTTAAGTTAGCACTACTAATGGTAATTTTTCAAAAGATGTCAACTTCACGACCAAATATCCGTGGCAGGTCTTTCAGCTTTAACACTGCAAATGAGAATATGACTTAAATGTTTCGTGTGTAACATGAGAAAGACAAACCTCTAGATATTTTCTAAGTGTTTTCATTTAACCTGATTGAGTCAGCTTTGATCTTATACTTTTATCTAAAGGGCGATATATCCCTATGAAACTCCTTAATGATGACGTATTATCGTTTTTCTCACGATTTGGTCACTTATGATGTGAGCCACGACGTTTCCGGGGCATACTGCTTGTCTTCATGAGGTGATAAGATCTTCCTATAAAAGTAGGATGCTTCGCTGTGATAGGTTAATATTCAACAGCTGTGATCGTCGCGTTTTCATCCTCGATGTTAGCGAGTTGTTCCCTCAGCAGTTCGATATCGTACGGCTCTCCTGTTGTTTTTTTTTTTGNTCAAACAGATGTCTAAGATAAATGCTTGAGCTGAGCTTAAAGACGTCCAGCCAGAAAATCATCAGGCTAAAAAGAAAAAAGAAAATGAAGAGGGCATAGATCATAGTTTCCTTTCTAAAAATTATATTCTAAGGGGCAACGAAAAACTGTAATAATACTATAAGTTAACTTACCATTAAAGCAAGCGAAGCTAGGCAGTTTTGGATTTCATTAGAACCCAAGATGGTGAGCATCTTGGATGTTCATGAAGATCAAAATTCGAAAAAATTATGCGATGAACACATCAGCTATTTACCACATAGGTAATAAAATAATTATTTTTAACAACTATGTCCAAAAACAGATAAAAAATAGGAAATTTTACATATTTTACGATGTCTGCTCGAAAGGGAAGTCTTAGATAAAGATATATTCAGATATGACGTTAATTGTTTCGTAAGATTCACGACATTACCAAGTAGATGTAGATTAAACTGGGACCATAAGATATCTGCAAGGAAAATTACGTTCCACTGCTGCATCAGTTCGTCATTTACTGAGTAACCTACTGGCTGCGGGCGTTATCAGCCGATTATCCATTTATCAATAAACCCCAATGGGTTGTAATGTCGCAATCTGATTGGCCAAATTTCCGCAGCCAGAGTCAACGCGTTACGCAACGTGTCACGCTCTGAAAACTTTGTCTTTTACTTGACATCCATTACGGTAAAAAAAAAAAAACAAAAACAACAACAAAAACAAAACAAAACAAATCAAAACAAAGAACTCTGAAATCGATAGCACTTTGGCGCACTCTGCGACTGGTTGTCGATAAGTGTACACACCACGCTAAACCACTATCGATTTTTTTTAAATTTATATATTCATTGTCACCTCTATAATTATTAACATTTTATCATTATCACCTTAGTTAACATTACTGTACTGTTAAAATCGATATTATCTTTATCATGGTTATCATCATAAATATTACTCTTATGTTTTCCTTTCTTATATCATACTGTAGTTACTCAGAGCCGTCGGGCAATAGCTGATCAAAGTAAGTACTAATCACACTATGAACAATTATTCAAGAAGCGGGCTGTCATTTCGAATAATGACGATCAGAAGTTCTGAATTATTAAAAGAGTAGGCACTTCTTGTAATCTGTGTTGTTAAAAATTGCACCGAGTGATTTAAATTGAGAAGTACAACCTTTTTGAGAGGCAATTTGTAATTTATGATTACTTTGCTACCCTTTCAATTTCATTCCAGATGATGAGTGTGAGACTGCCCCGTTCTTGAAGCTAGGAAAATATAACCACTCGAGCTGCGGAGGACTTCTTGCGCACGAATGGCGCAAGATAAAATGCAATCCTTATTTCGCTGGCGCTTACAGAGGTTCCTGCTCCAGGTGGTGCAAAAAACTTCTCTCGTGTTGTGGTGGAGTCTGCCTTGAAGATTTTCAAAAGCTTTTTTCAAATCAATTTAACAGCATAGGGAATAATCAACTTTGTGTAGTACCCTGCAGAGCATTTTTGTTTCGCATCAGACTGATCTCAAGTGAGTAGCTTTAAGGAAACAGACTAGTTTATTTTCTCCACTTTTTTATCTATTCTTCAATTACACTCTATGCAATGGCTTAACCCTCGTACAGGCAAGCCATTTTAAATTCCCCTTTCTCTGAAGAAAATTTTATCGTCATTGCACCACTTTACCATTTTAAATATTCTCCTTGCTTTCCCTGATGTTTCCTTGCTTCACCTCGGAACGCTCGACATCCGCAGACCAAGAGACGTTGGTGAGAAATTTGTCAATTCTTTTCTAAACAAGTTTTATTTGAGCTTATGCTATATGCACACGCGATTCCAAAAACGCTGACACCTGGATAGTAACGATGATCCTTGAAAGCTGGCACCCAACGGCTTTATAGGAAATGTTAGCACAGATGCATTACAAGTTAAAATCATATTCTCTTGTACATATGCAATAATTCACTTTTTCATCAATCTTGAAAATATCTCTTTTAGAGGGCTCTTCTCGTTAACGAACACATGAATGGCCTATATCCTTTTCCACATAAATGTAATTGTAGTTCTCATGCACATATATACCCATCAAGCCGTCGGGTGTCATCGTTCATTGCTTACGATTTTTTGGGTCAACATTTCTGCAATCACTGTAAAAAAAAAAAAAAAACAAAAACAAAGAAAAAAATTATCGTCTCTTCCTTACAGAATTGCAGTAGAACCATTCCAACCGGCAACGTGTTTAAACGGGTATAGTATCATTACCATGGTGTAGCTGCAAGTATTTTGGATCTTTTTCTCTATTATAACGTTAAATTTGTTTTTGGTTTTTTTTTGTTGTTTTTTTTGTTTTTGTTTTTTTCGCCTTTCTTTTTTTTATTTATTAAACGGGTTGATAGCTGTTACACTCTTCTTAGGTAGTTTGGTAGGTTTACAGGATTTTTTGACTTCCACGTTTGTCTGTTTCTATTTGCTTGCTTTGTTTTGTTTTCCTTTTCCTTTTCTTTGCTTATATGATTACTTGCTTGATTATTGGTTTGTTCTGGTTTTTTTCTTTGTCTGTTTCATGTGAGATATATCACATGGGTAAGTTATTAACCGAATATTTTCCAATTTCAACTGTTTCTAGATGGTAGAACCCTGTTCTCAGACCTCTTAGCCCTTTAAAACACCTAACAGTACAACTTATTATCTTTCAGATAAAGGATTTTATCAACTTTCTTCAAAACATTTCAGTCAATGATGAAAATGCCTTGCAGGTAGCGTTTACATATCAAGATAATAATTGCAATTTTAATGTTTGTCTTACCCTCTACATTAGCGACTGATTTGTTTCTTATATAATGTTTTTAGTTTGCTATTTTTGCATTTGTTGTTGTTGTTTCGTTCTTTAATAAGCGTTCATTGAGCACTTAAAGAGTTGCCAAATGGGAAACAAATCGTTTTGAATCCCAAAGACTCTCAATATTCTTTCACAAAATCCCTAAGCCGTTCTCAGGTTATCCATAACTCCAATTTTTTTTGACTCGTCAGTCTCAATCTTTCTCGTCACAATCCTGGAAAATACTTAGTTTGTATCCAAAATTGTTTAATTACACCTTATTACGCTGGCATCAAAACGTCTGTTTTTGAAATAATAATTTTAAGCCATTCCAAAGAGTTGCCTTTCTCATCAATGAATAATCCGAAGTTCAGCATATCGCAAAATCGAAAATTTTAGTTTGGTCAAGGTATCAGAAACATTGACTGCAACTGGTATTCTCTTGAAATTTAAAAGGGCCACTTAGGGAAGTTCTACAAAAATGTCCCAATAAAGGCACCTCGTAATAACTACTAGTATTTTTTGTTAATATTTTCAGTCTTGTTGTGTTTTTGTTGTTGTTGTTGATGTTATTGTCTGTTTGTTTTGTTTGCTTGCTTGTTTGTTTTTGCTTTTTCTGTTCTTTGTTTTATTGTTTTAGCTTGTCTTTTTCCTGTCTGCTGGTCAGGAGCTAATTTGTTCTCATGCTCGATTTCACCTCTTTAAATTCAGAGTGTTATACAAAGATTTAAAAATGTGAATAAAAAAATGCGGCCCATCCGGCCAGCCGATGGAGGGGAAGATCCTATTTTCGTCACGCTTGCCTTTGAGGAATTTATGACCAGAATTGCCAAAAGCAGACTAAATTCCACAAATCCAGAAGTAAATTACACTGGCAAAGATATGGGTGAGTTAAAGGAAGTTTTATTACATTTTGCTTAGAATGAAAATATCGGCGTTTTATGAGAACTTACTTGGTGGATGAGCGAATAATTGTCGAGAGCGAGGGAATTAAAAACGCAGGAGAAGGGGGAATTTTTTCGTATCGAAAGTTCCAGAAGTGACAAAGATATGTTGTTCCTGTTAAAATATCTCACAAGTAAAATTCATGTATCGTTGTCGTCATTGCCATTTGTCATTATCATTTCCATTGCCATTTTTATTACCGTTATATCCGTATCGTTACCGTTACCGTTAATTACCGTTATCATTATCGTTAAAAATTATCATTGTTTATATCATCATTGTTGTTATCAATTTTATTCAAGCGTTTCGAGTCAGACGCATTGTCCGCAAGGAAGGAAGTGACTTTCTGTTTAATGACAGTGACGGGGAGAACTCTATCAAGATTCCTTCAGCTAACCTACATCCGAACGGTTGGTATATTGATTTTGGTTAAGCTCTTTACTATTCGGCCAACTTGGAAATTGACTGGACTTCATCTTTCTTTTCCCTTCTTTTTATAATCGGTCGAACACCTCACAGTTGTCCAATTACAGTTTTTTTTTGTGATCGAATTCTTAAAGTTTGACATTTACTAATAATTGGGCTCCAGTTACTTGTGTACTTAGTTAAAAATTTTTCTCCCTTCCTCAACCCGCTGCCTTCCTGCCCTGACTTCTGACCCACTTTCTGTCTCTCTATTCCATTACCACAGATGAATTGAACGTATTTTCAGTATTTCTTTGATAGCCCGCTTTTAATTATCGACCCGTCCAAAATGCCACGCGGCAGACTCCTGAAAAAATGCAAGTCCTATAATTTAGGACACCAAAATAATCCAGTTCTCCTTCCTCTCCAAATAGGATCAATAGTACTTGGGATGGCATACAAAAGCCTTCACCAACTTTTTCCAGGCTACGTAACTGACCCTGATGGAACCAACAAAAAAAGGTTGGTTTCTTTTAAATTTTAGACTAGAGCTGAAAAAAAAAGGCTGATTTGTGATCGTTGAGTTTGGTTCATTGATAGGATCCTGGATAGCGTAATTTTATCCGCAGTAGTGGATCCTCCGCCAGAAAAGTTACGAGAGAACGTCACCTTGGTTTTTAAAAACATGAAGGTATTTACACCACTCGAGCTTTTTTTCTTGTTGTTTTGCTTCGGTTTGTTTTGTTTTGTTTTTTATCCTTTCCGTTATTCAAGTTGTTCCTTAATGTTGTTGCGGATTTCGCTGTGAACTAGCAAAAAGCCGCGGTCTTTTAAAAGATGATTGTTTCCCAAGACTTGATTAGCAGGTTAGTAACCTTTATCCTCACATTTCGACACCTCGACAAAAACACAAAGAGTACGGGGGCGAACGGTCATCAACTTGCCATATTCTGTAATAGTCATACTTTGCCACAGGACTGTGTTGAGCACTGGATCCCTACGATGACTGACCACAATACTTTGCAAATTACAACCCCTTTAGGCTGGCCGAAAGAAGAGAACATGCGTATTCTGGAAGTTTTCGGAAGACAAGTAAGCACGACATTTGCAATACATCAGCCAAGAGAAGTAATCCATCTTTTTTGCTTTTTTTTTTTCCTTTTTCCTTTCTTCATAAACAAAAGTATTTTTTCTGAACCTTAACGAATTTGAGAGAACTTTAGAGCAGTCTGTCAAGTGAACTGAAATTTCTGCTGATTTTGATGGGAAAGGTTGCATGAACAAGGGATTTTCAATTTATTATTTTTCTTTTAGCTCTATATCTCTTAGCATTAACGTTCTTATCAATTCTCATTCATGTTCATTACTTTTATTATTATTATTATTATTATTATTATCATTGTTATCACTTGTATTATTGTTACTATTAACATTCCTATTATTCTTTTCATTATTATTTTTTTTTTATTCATTTCCTGCTTACGCGCAGCAATAGTAGTTGGTCAAGAGAGGGTTGTCAAACAAGAGTGACATCCCATTCCCGAACAGAATGTGTGTGCAATCACTTGACCCACTTTGCTGTGCTCATGGATTTTACTGACAAAGACGACGACGAAAAGGTGAGACTGTTATTTGCTCAAAAAATAATATTTTTCAAAAAGGGTACAAAAATTTTTAAAGGTTATCGCATTTGTACATTGATTCCGAGAACCAGAATTTTTCCTGATTCAATGAAATTTGAAGCTATTAACTTTTCAATTAGGACCTGCATGACAAAGCACTGACTCTCCTTACACGAGTAGGTATGGCTGTATCTCTCACTGGAATTTTTCTCACAACTATCAGCTATCTTCAGCTCACGTAAGTACATTTAATTCAGAATGATAGTTCATAGAGTCGCGGGGGGATAACCTCTATTTGAAATAATGGGATAAAAGTTATCAGATCATGGGAGCCTGAGTTGTAAGTTTATCAAGGTGTGATAGAGCTTCAAGTAGATTGCAAGTGAATTTCTTGTATGATTCATTTATCTACTCTTCATTACCTTATTTTTCTTTTTTTTTTTTCTTCAATTTCACCTTGTTTTATTAATTAACTTTGGTTATCCATTTATTTGTTTGTTTTTTCTTACTGACTTGGTGCTGTTTAGAGACAGACTTTCACCTCTGTGTCACATACGGGTTAGTCTAGCCTCTTGCATTGGGGCAGGACATATCATCTTTTTGGCCGGAATTGACGCCACAGGAAACAAGGTGACTTGCTGCTGCTTGCTACTCATTTTCGGCTGTATTCATTCATAAATAACTGACAAATTAATTTGTTTTGCTTTGGGATCATTTTCTGGTAGGGTGCTTGTGTTTCTGTGGCAGCTCTCGAGCAGTATTTCGTGATGGCCGCTTTTTGCTGGATGCTGGTCGACGGCATTTATATCTACTTATTTGTTGTGAAGGTGTACAACATCACTGATGATATCCGTCGTTATCATGGCTGCTGCTGGGGTAAGGAACACTGCCAGTCAGAAATGTATTTGTTAATAAAGCAGGTAATGAAATATCATGTTTTGATTGGCCGAAAAATGATAAAATAGGCTTTAGAGTGGAATTAAAGGTTAAAGAGTGGAAAAAGTATCGGGAAAGCTCTAAATTCGAACAACCTTCATAAAATAGCTGTGTTTAATTTAAATATTCACGAGGTGCGCCTTTTGGAGACCATTGAGTCGTCTTGTTGACTAACCAGGGAACTGGCGTACAATATTTTCGGTGCTTGTTACACCCGGCTTTCAGCAGAGTGTCACCAGTGCGGATTAAATTGGACCAAAACACTCAGCTGTTTTGTAGTTCGCACTGTTGTAGAAGCGTCACACCCGCAAGCCAAACGTTTCAAGAGTGAACACTGATACTACAATAGGATTGGAAATTCAAATTGGCGTCGGTTAATCGAAAAATTAAACTTGTACAGTCATTGGTTTGGGCAGATGGACTATCTTTTTAACTCTGCTTTTCGTTTCAGGAGCTCCTGCAATTATAGTTGCATTATCTCTGGGTATTGCTGCAGGAAAAGATGGAGTAGAAACTTTTGTCCGCGATAAAAAGTTAGTTTGAATGTTTACTTCATTTCCCATGCAGAAAATGTCGAGATTCTGTAAGTAAGAAACTGAGGGGATAGTGAAGGTCAGAGAAAAAAGAATTTGTTCCTCTGGGGTTACTATAACCTTCCTCGTATACTCTAGACCATTATCGAAGCCTGCAGGGCTTACAATCTGCTATGAAACACTCATACTGATATTTATTCCAAACGAAAAACGAAAATTAGACAACTTATGCCTTTTGTTTCTCTGATCTAAGTTGCTGGATGTCCGCCACTAACAATATCATTTGGATATTTGTTTCCTTTGTTGGACTGATCGTGATTGTAAGTGGCCACCGATTGAATTTCTACAATGAATATGAATTTAGTCATCTCAAATACCGAGCTCAACGTTGATTATATTCTCCTCTTTATGAGTCTATGTAAATCTTCTTTGGGCAACGTTGAACGTAAGTTGCATGTATCTGAATTTCTCTACTTTATATTTTACAGATCAACATAGCTATCCTTGTGCGAGTTATCAAGGAAATGACAACAATCCAACATGTGCAAGAGAACCAAGCTGAGCAGATCAGGTGTGATTATCACTGCTGTTTCTCCTTTTAATGCATTTTATTCAGTCTTCAATTAATTTCGTGGTGAGCCTGAATCTCAAATAAACATGTCTAATAGCTTTCTCTAATCACAAACCGTCCTGAGATTTATACACCTTGAGTAAGAGCTAAGGAAAATGAACGCATAGCACACCCTGTATTTGGTTTGCACACCAGGGTGATACCTTGGTAAGATTAATTGTGATTCGTAACTGATCATTCCCTCCCTTTTATTTAAGCGAGGATATTTGTTTTCTTTTATTCTTGCGGGCAGGCAAGGATATAAGAATTCGAAAGAAAACCTCTGCTTTCAGACTGAATATTCATTTGGTCTCTCTCAGGCTTGGCGTCCACGCATCCGTGGTGTTAGCTCCATTGTTGGGTTTCACGTGGCTGATTGGTTTCCTTTTGCCATTACACGTCGCCTTCTTCTACATTTTTGTAATCCTAAACTCTACTCAGGTAAAGTGCTTTAGAGCTTAAGTTTTCCCAAGCAGAGGTTCGACTCCAACGAGGAGGTTAGAGTGTACTTCTAACACGATGAACGTCGGGAAAAATGAAAAACGTCTCAATATCCCAGGGTGACCCAGACTCATATTTAGACAGCAGACTCACCTTTTAACTTTGAATGGAAGCCTACTCAAGGCGAAGACGTCATTCTGCGCTTGCATTTAATATCTTTGTAGCCTTAGCTCTGCCTGATTATGAAATTAGAGTCACTAAGAGTCTATTTCATGTGACAGATACAATTGTATTCGGAAAAATAAACCTCAAGCGAGAAAAAGAATTGTCGATGGAAAGAAAAGAAACGATTTGTAGGAAAATAAGAGGTTGTGCTTAGCCGTTCCGACGCAATCCTACATTACTGATATGAAAACAAGTACGAAACACCTGGTTGCTACCATCGCCAACAAACTTAAAAACAATTGTTACGTATCTATTTATTTATTCCTTACTTAATTCACTTGTCTCTCCTCTTTTTAAAGGGATTCTCGATTTTCTTCTTTCACTGCTTGAGAAATAGTGAGGTACAGATAAATTTGAGTCTGTATGATCTTTATCCTATCTTTGATTCAGCGACAAAATTGGTTTTAGAAGGGTATTCCTTTAACTCAACATGTATTTCCTATTCAGATAAAAGAGCGTTTCAAAAGAAGATTCTGGTGCATTAAAGCTGACAACAGAATAACCCCTCAAGCCAATCAGAGCCGCAATAATGCTGAGATTCCCGAGGCGTCATCCAAGCAACGATTCTAAACCATACAAGCAACTTAATCGATTTTGAACTTTCGTTTCCTCCACAAATTGTGCTAATGCTAGATCAATTAATCCTCCGGCCTCACCGAAGACGTAGCCTGTAGCTGATGAGTTCATTTAAGCTGCTTGTTAAGTGTATGGGACGCAGCAAATTAACACGTAGTGGAAAATGTAATACTTTCCAACACTTCTAATAGTTGATAAAGGGAACATTAAACAACAATAACCAGATCGTATAATGCGTCTGAGAATATAATTTGCATTTATCCTGTTACAACCTCATGGGAAAATCAGCTATCGAAGAAGATTATCAATTTGGGGGAAAACAGTAATTGCAACAGGCACTAAAGGGTCCATTGTTGTCATCTCCATTATCTTTTAATCTGTCACTGTTACCAACAATCAGAATAATATGCAAACTTTCCAAAGATTTCGTCCGTCTTAAGATGGAGGTGTGCAGATAAAGGATGTCTTAAAGTTAAGGGCTTTAACGGATTAATCATAAATCGTCCAGGGAAGGGAGGGGGAGGCACAAGTTTTGAGGATCACATGGTATCTAGGGCAAGCGAAGGAGAGATCAGTCATTGGAAACATAGTATGAAAGGAAGGAATATTGGAAATTAAAACTGCCAATGAAGAGGTAGCAATCAGGTGAATTCTATTGTGATCTCTCTCAAATGAATTTAGCTTTACATGCTAAAACAGCAACAAAAGCAACGCCAGTGGAGACACCGTCTATTTTTTTACCACATTCGAAGACTGTTGAATAAAGCTATGACAACAAAGCGGCAAATAAGGAGCTTATTGGTATTGGAAAATTACTATCACATGGGCTCCTCTCTCCCTTAAACAAGGGGTTGCCGGCTACCTTTTGCTAGAAAAACACATTCTCCATCGACTGAAAGTACAGTGACTCGTGATGTATACCGCAATGTTGGTGAATGAAGCGTTGAAACAGTTCCTAAGGCGAAAAACCCAGTTACTAGAGACAACAATTCGGACGTTGGACGTGCTCACCTCCATGCCAGACCTGCGCGGTGTAAAAATAGTTCATATATTTTCTGTACAAAATACTGCAATGGTGTGATACATGCATGCTCCACGGGGTGTGCATATATGGGCCATCCTAGAACTGGGTGTAATAAATACAACATGACACTTCTTATCCAAACCAACGAAAGAAATGGTAAAAGAAAGGTAAAGGAGAACTCAAGAATTAGAAAAAAAAGATTCTAAACATTTTTTAAGCTGTGCATAGAAAGCTAAGGATGCCTTTATTCGTGCTACAACATAATTTACGTGTATCGCTAATCAGGATACCTCTACTCAATTGTGGGTCATGACAAGTTATCTAATTTTTTCAGTTGTTGTTGTTTTTTTTTTAATCTCTACAAATACACGAAACACAATAAAGGGGGAGATCAGCAGTGAGAACCACTCATTGCAAGGCACAGAGAAATTTGTGACTCCCTCCTCCGCCATCGAGAAATTATAGAAACTGACCTTGTCTCGTAAAGGCCAAAAGGGCGGATACTTGTCTGACCGGGATACTTGTGACTTAAAATTTAAAATCACACCTTGGATTTTAGATCAAATTGCACACTACTCAGTTACTATTATTGATTATAACTAAGACATTTCTGACACCATTCTCGTTCCCTCTACTCTTGGAATCGATACCAACCGGAAAGTCCATTGTCACAGCCATAATAATTTCCGTAAGTTGATGTTCTGTCCCGGCCGGTAAGACTTCGATAGTTTTGACATTCTTAGTAGGCACAGAGAGGATGTAAATGGAAAAAGCCACCCAGACTAAACATTTGAATTAAACATAGCTTGAACAATTACAATTATTATGAAGTGTTTAGTTAGTCAGCCAGTCAGTTAGTTAATCAGTTTAGTATGATTATGTCTTTAGTTTATATTCAGAATGCAGTTAATGTATGGCCCGAGGTTGTTTAGGTTTAAGCTGCCTGCATGAATTTCCGAATAGTGCTTCTCTTGTCTGACTTCGAAGTGGATGCGCTTAGTTTGTCTGCTGACCTTCCTTTGGACTCACACGAAAGTTTCTGTTTTGGCTAACGCAGTCAAGATTTGGATTCAGTTTATCGGAGCATTAAGTACGTTGTTGTTCTTTAATAAAGTGGTGCCTATTTGCAATTCACAAGGTGCAGTCTGAACAGCGATCCAGTCCACCGCCTCAGTGCCGTTCAAGTTGTGAAACCACTTCTAGTAACAACTTCAACCTAGATTACGGTGCCGTTACGCAGCACACAGTTTGAAATTCAGGAAAGAACAACATTACTACTGACACCCCAGGTCTGTTTGAATGTATGAAGATCTCCTTCTAGCGTCCTTTCAATGGCAGACAGCAGGAAAACGTCTTTGCCTTCGTTGTTCATACAGTGAGGAACTGGTTGAACGCTCTTTTCACAGAATTCGCATGAAGCGATGGCGATCTTTGAGGAGAAAAATTTACAACGGTAAAGATTTCCCTACCAAAGATAAACAGTATCAATTCTAACTTGTCCCAGACGTTCACTTAGTTAAAAGGGGAGAAATAGTAGACGGCGGAACAGTAGCGCTGTGGGACGGGTGGCATAAATTACGCTACCCGTCCCATAGATCGCCTTCCTCCGCTGCTATCACGCCGTTTACGTTCGTGCTTTCTTTTGGTAACTAAACTCCAGAAACAGGCCTTTTTTACTTCAAATTTGCATCGCTTTGTTCACTGCATGCTTCAAAATATCTGCTTATGTTTTTTCCTACTCTAGTAGAACTGTCCTGAACAAATCGCCTCTCTAGACATTTGTTTAACCTCTGTCGGTATGTCGCATTCACCTAAACGGAATTCCTTGCTATTGAACTGAATTGAATTGAATTGAATTGAATTGAATCTTTATTAAGTCATAAGATAAATAATCACATATCCTATGTTACAACATTAAAAGAAGGTATATATATAAATTACAGAGAAAATCAAGATAAAAATTATAAGACTAGATTATGTTTAAAAATTAAGCGATTAACAAACGTGTTTTTGAACCTATCAGTGTTTATTTTAGGATGGTGACTTGTCTCTTTCCTCAGATTGTACTTGGTTGATTTCTTTTTTGGCATTATAGCTCTTAAAGGGTGTATTGTATTATTAAAAACATTCTTGAAGATACGTGTGTCCTGTTGAACTAACAATTCATAAACATTAATGTGGTCGGATGTATACTTGCGCTTATAACATCGATCTAAGAAACATTGGATTGTTGTTAATTCGGAATTTACAGCGCCAAATACGGACAGCCCGTATAATATATTTGGTAGAACCAGATTTAGAAACAGATGGTCTATTTCGGCCTGATTGTACCCTTCTTTCCTTAAAGATCTTAAAATGAACAGGCACTTGTTTGCTTTGATTAGTTTTTCCCGAATATGTGTTATGAACCTACTGTCTTCCTGAAATGTTACCCCTAAAATAGTAAGCTCTTTTGTCTGTGGTATTCCAGACACCATCGGAAACTCTATTGTACAACCTTTCTTGCGGAAAATGATTTCCTTGCACTTAGATGGATTGCTACACATACCATTACTTCTAGACCACTGGGAAAACTGATTAATCAGTGCGATAGAATTGTCATTATCACCTATCACAGGCGAGATAATGGTTGTATCATCTGCATATTTTACCAGCACGCTCTTATTGTCCAAGTGTATCTCTAAATCACTGAGAAAGACATTGAACAAGTGCGGCCCGCTGACACTTCCTTGGGTGGTACCTTTGTTGACACTTTTCCATTTTCCAATAAACCCATTTCTAATGACTCTCTGCTGCCTGTCTTCCAAAAAGCTTAGATACCAGTTAACTATAAAAGGATTTAGGGGGAGTTGCTTCAATTTGTGTGAGAGGAGATCGTGTTTCACACTATCAAAAGCCTTGCTGAAATCCATAGCGAATAGGCGTACCGCTTTGCACTCTGGGATATCAAGATATTGATTGACAGTATGTTGGATAGTCAGTAGAGCATTGGTACAGCTCCCTCCCTCTATGTATGCAAACTGTGAGATCCCAGAATGTTCATCGAAGGTCTCCCTTGCGTGTGTTCCTAAGACAGCTTTCTCAAAGCACCTTGCGATGACAGGTGTCACATTTATTCCGCGGAAGTCTGATATTCCCTTAGGTA